CACAGATGAGTGGTGTATGTCCGTGCCCAGGAACCGAACCTGGGCCACTGAAGCGGACTGTGCAGAACTTAACCACTAGGCCGCTGGAGCTGGCCCCCTAATTGTATGTTTATCAGAAGTAATCAGTTACCTTGGAATGTGTCTTCATAGTGACTGTGCTGTGATGGGCCCGTTATAGCTCTCATTCAGTTAGAGCTCCCATTTCCGGAATGTGTCCCCAGAGCTAACCAGGGTATGCCTGTGAGAGAGAGAGGGAGACACACACACGTGGAGTGGGGTTGGGGGAGAGGAAGGGCGAGGGAGAAAAGGAATGTGTATGTGTAAATAAGCATAGAAAAAAAATTCTGAAAGTTGTCACCCCTCAGGAGAGGAGTGTGATTGAATGGTAGAAGTAGAGAGGAAAGGGTAATTTTGCTTTTTATTTCTATTCACTTCTGTAATAATAATGATAGCTAATACTTATTGCTTACTATATGCCAGGCCCCCTTTCTGTGTGCTTTAAATGTACCCACTTATAGTCAGTCCTTACAACAACCCTATGAGGTAGGTTATTTTTTTCCTTTTCTTCTTTTATCTGTCTCTCTCTCTATCTGTATCTATATCCATATATCTACATCTATATGTCTATATCTATATATGTGTATTTTAAAGATGTGGGAAAGCAAAGTGCTGGAGCCAGGATTTATACCTGGGCAGTTAAGCTCTAGAGTCCATACGCTTAAGCACTCTATGTTGCCTTTCAACATGAGGATGGCTCACTATGGCAGCTAGTGTCCACTGACCAAAAAAAGATCATACTCATTTACTGTGCTGACTGACCAATGTTATAATCAGTCACCTGTGGGGAGTGTGCACTGTACGAGGCAGTAGTGAACAGAGCCTATACACAGATTTAGATAGATAACAATATATATGTATTAGAGACATAACGGTATCCATCTTACATAGAGATTTGGCTCTGTCATAGCATGACCATGTATCATCAGAATAACTTGAAAATTCTTCGATTTAGGGGAACTTGCTACACTGGATATTGACATCCTGTCTTTTAGTAAGTTTCTCATAACTAATCTTTTTTCCAGATTGGAACAGGTCACCATTTCTTGAGTTATCACCAGAAGCTTATCATTAAACCTTGGCATCACTTCACTTGACAGGCTGTGTACACCACAGAAAATTCACCTCTGCCAACTCATGTTCACTCCTGGGCACATTTTGTTGTGTGGAATGGTGGGTTGCGCTATTTGAATTTTTACCTCCCTCTTTTTTTTTTTCCCTGAGCACATATAGATGAATTCCCATGTTAATACAAGTATGATGGTGTTATTCTACTGAACTCACACATACATTTGCATAGTTTTTTGTTGTTGTTTTTGCGTAAATGGCCTCTCCCTACAAGGTAACAACAGTTAACAGTTTGGTTGTATATTCTTGCAGACCTTATTTTATGTGTTATCTGCGTGTATATGTACCTAAAGAAATATCTAGTTTTCTGTTTTTCCCCTGTAAATGATTTTTTACTCTCATTTTTTTTATATACATATGGTTGTCTTTATGTCATGTCAGTGCATGTAAAGCTGCCACATGTTTTTGAGTAAATGCATTGTATTCCTCAGACTGGATGTGACCTAATTTGTTAAGATGTTGTTTAATTACATAATTAATAAATGAACATTTTATTTTAAAGAATTTAAATATAATTAAATATTATAATTATTATAATTAAATAAATTTAAAGCTCCTTTGACCATCTTCCCTAATCCCAGGCTTCTCTCAAGAGATAGTAACAGTTAACATTTTGGTGTATTGCAGGCCCTTTTCTATGCATTCCATATATATGTATGTACCCGTAGAAATGTATGGTGTTTGCATTTTCGCCTGTCATTGATTTCATGCTGTAATATTGTTGTTCAACATGATTGTATTTAGTTCTTTGTTTTTACTCAACAGCATGTTTTGGGGATCTTCCCATGTTAATGTTGATCTGCCACACTCTTGAGTTGCTCCTGTATAGTATTCCATAGTACAAATGATCATGGTTTGTTTAACTGTTCCTCTGATATTGGTCATTTAGATTTTTTTCATTTTTCCCAGCATTATAAACAACTCTGCTTTAATATTCTTGTATGAAACTCCTTGGGCACTTGAGTCAATTTAAAATTTTATATTTTAATTGACATTACCAAATTGTTCTTCAAAATGGTTTTACCTGTTTATACTGTCACAAGAGTATATGAATTTCTTCACACCTTTGCCAATTTATTAATATTAAGCTGTAGTTTTTTTCTTTTCCAATTGGATGTGTGTGAAATAGCATCTCATTTTATTTTGTTTTTCTTTGATTACTGATGAGTTGAGGACTTTCCTTTTTTTGGTATGTTTATTAGTCATTTATAGTTCCTGCTTTGTGACTTACCCATTTTTCTGTTGTGTTTATTGTCTTTTTCTGTTGATTTGTTGGAATTTGCCTTATGTAGGTTGAAAAACATTCTATCCCAGTCCTTGGTCATATAGAAGTTTTCAATTTTGGTGAAGTCAGATTTGTAAATCTTTTCCTTCATGGCTTTATTCAGGTTAAGTACTTATCTTTCTGTTCTTAGATTGTTAGATTTTTTTTAAAAAATCCAGAATGTGGAATTTTTATGAAGTGACCTCTTACTGTCTGACCAAAGGAGTGGTCATAATAATTTGTTAGTATAGTGAATGATTTTAATGAATTTCTAAATATTGAACCTTCCTTAAATTCTTTGGATAAAATCTACTTGGTTATGATTTATTATCCTTTCAAAAAACCACTGATTTCAATTTGTTATTAATGTATTTGTGCATTATACTCATAAGTTAGAATTATAGTATGTATCGTCTTTCTTTTTCTCTTTCTTCCTCCCTCCCTCCTTGTCTCTTTCCCTTCTTCCTCTCTCATTCTTTCTCTCTCTTTTTTCTTTTCTTTATAATTTTTGATTTTGGGGTTATGTGTTTCATAGAATGATTTAAATTTTTCTTCTTTGCTAAATTCTATAATGGTTATATAGCATAAAACTGAGTAATCCAAAACTATTTGGTAAATGTTTCCATTAATTTATCTGATCTAGCAGCTTTCTTAGGATAGATCTTTGACTGCCCTGTAGCTTTTTTCCATAGTTATTTGTATGTTCAGGTTTCTATCTGTTCTTAAGAGAATTTTGCTAATTTATAGTTTCTCATAAAATTGGCCATTTCAACTACATCTTCACATTACATGTTGTTTTCCTATAATTAAAAAAACTCTCCAACTAAAATAATTTCCTTCTAATGTTATGCATTATTTTCCTTCCCCCCCACCCCCCACCCCTTTCTCAGACTTCCTGAGCAATGATCTGTTTTATTGGTTTTTTCCAAGAACACCTTTGGGTTGGCTTTATTGATTGCCCATCTCTATCTCCCTTTTTTTTTTTTAGCATCAATTTAATTAGTTTCTACTTTTATTTTTATAAATTGCTTCTATTCTCTGACTGAGTTTATTTTTGTGTACTTTTTCCTTTGATAATTTCAAACTTAGAGAAAAGTTGCCAGAGTAGGTCAAGGAACTCCTATTTCTCTACCCAGAGTCACCAACTACTTAGGTTTTTGCCCCATTTATTTTATTTTTTTTCCAACTTTAATGAGACATAATTGACAAAATTGTATATATTTAAAGTGTACAGTGTGATGATTTGATATACATATACATAGTGAAGTGGTTACCACAATCAAGTTAATTAGCATATCCATCACCTACACAGTTACCTTTTTTTGTGGGGGGGGGATTGATAACATTTAAGATCTACTCTTAGCAAATTCCAAGTATACAATACAGTATTATTAACTGTAGTCACTATGCTGTACATTAGATCCCCAGAACTTATTATTCTTATAACTGGAAGTTTGTCCTTTAGCATTTTCTCTCTGAACGTTTTTATTTGTGCGTGTTACTTTTTCAGAACCACTTGAGTGTAAATTGGAGGCATTTTACCCAGTTACTTCTGATTACTTAAGTGTGCTAATTTTAAGAACCACAGTACAGTTATCAAAATCAGGAAATTTAACAGTGATACAATACTGTTATCTAAGCCACAATCCATATTTAGATTTCATCAGTTGTCCAGAACGTTCCTTTATAAATATTCTTTCCACTCCAGGATATGATCTGGGATATGCGTTGCATTTAGTTGTCTCTTTAATGTCATTCAATCTGGAACATTTCATCAGCCTTTTTTTATGTTTCTTGACCTTTACCTTGTTAAAGTATAGGCCAGGCCTTTTTTTTTTTTTCCAGAATAGCCCTCAATTTGGGTGTGTCTGCTTAGATTAGTTCAGGTTATACATTTTTGGTAGAAATACCACAGAAGTGATGATATGTTCTTAGTGCGTCATATCAAGAGTCACCTGATGTTGTTTGTTTACAGTGACATTTGCAAGATTTCTCCACTCTAAAGTTATTATTTCCCTCTGTAATTAATAAGTAATTTCTTAGGAGACATTTTGAGATGATGTAAATGTCTGTTCCTCATCAACCTTTCACCTCTGGGTTTATTTTATTATTCTATTTCTAGCCTGTCATGTTGAAAGCTTATTTTATTTATTTCAGCTTTTATTTTCTAAAGTACTTAAGATTATAAATTTTTCTTAATATATTGCTTTGACATATTGACTGGAAGTACTTAACAGTAGGATTGGGAATGAAAGGAGACAGTAGATGGGGAGATTGTTTATGATAATCTACCACTAAGAAACTGGCCATAAGAACCTGAACAGAGTATTTTAAAGGTGCCCCAAATCACCCGTGTCTTAACAAAATGTATCTAGTCTTGATTTAAAGAACAAAAGACATGGTTTATGATGATTGTGATGTCACGCCTATGAGTAATGGTAAGTTCTTGAAAATTATGAAATTAAGAAGTTTATTTCTTTAGTGCCACTGGTACCTCAGACTTGTTTAATATACAACTATCTCAGACCACATTTTTACTTCACCATTTCAGGAGCAGCGGCGGAGGCGCGGAAGAATCCTCTTTCAAGCTGGTTTACTGCTATGCTCCACTGCTTTGGTGGAGGGATTTTATCCTGTGTACTGCTGTCAGAGCCTCTATTGAGGTTTCTTGCAAACAGCACTAATGTATTACTGGCATCTTCAATCTGGTAAGCTGCCATTATGGTGAACTATGAGACATTTAAAAAATTATTTTGTAAATTATTAGTAAATGGAACTTTTTTCTTTAGAAAAATATTTTATGTTCTTGAAAAGTTAATGCATGTGCAAGGGAAGGAACCCACATGCCAAAGGTTTTAGGTGCAAAGTATGTCTCTTTCTAACCCTTCTCCCTTGTCCTCTCCCAGAGGCAGTTATTGTTATTATTATCTAATGTATCTTTAGTGGAAGCATTCAAATATGAAAGGGCATCAAATATTTGGCCCCAAACAGTTTATCTTGTGCACCTAACCCATACATGCAGATATACAACAGGATAAAATCAAGAACGTAACCAACTACACAAAGTCCAAGTGATTATGATTCCTATACAATAATTATTCTTGTCATACTCTTTTTTGGATTTTTCAGAACCTTATGAGATTTAATATTAATTTTGTTTTGAATTTAGTTTTGAAGTGAAGAAAAAATGTTAGGAATTGCTTTGGATTTTTGCAAATCTAAGTTCAGGTATCCTTGAGGATTGATCCATCAAGTTAAAAAAAAAGTATAATACAAATCAGAGTACTTTTTATATCTAAAGCAAAAACTATGCTTTTGATTAAAAACTATATCAGTGAAATATATAACATGTTACAAACACTTAAAGTTCATTTTTACTGTGATAATTTATAAATGAATATGTAACCAGTCATAAAAGGGAGTATTATAAATAGTAGTAGCAATGGAAAAAATAGTGGGAACCTGTGGCAGTGGAAACTACTAGGAGTAGAATAATAAATTTGATAGCTAATATTTATTGAGTTGTTACCATATGTCAGCTAAATTCTTTTATTTTTTTATTTTTTTATTTATTTTTTCCCTCCAAAGCCCCAGTAGATTGTTGTATGTCATAGCTGCACATCCTTCTAGTTGCTGTATGTGGGACGTGGCCTCAGCATGGCTGGAGAAGTGGTGCCTCCGTGCACGCCCGGGATCCGAACCCGGGCTGCCAGCAGCGGAGCACGCGCACTTAACTGCTAAGCCACGGGGCTGGCCCTGTCAGCTAAATTCTTTACATTCATTTTTCGTATTTAATCACAAGAGTCTCATGAGATAGGTATTATTATTATTCCCATTTGACTAATGACAAAACTGAGGCATAGAGAAACTTTTCTGAAATTTTCATGTTTAGTAAGTGATTGAGCTAGGATCAAAACCAAGAAGTTTGACTTTGCAGCCTTGATACTTAACAGCCACTTCTCTCGTAGATTTCTTTAACCATCTCTTAAAGTATATTCTTCCAGGTGCTATGTGTTTTAAAAGACTTTCTTAAGGACTTTTATTTTTGTAACAATATTTTTAAAATATTTTAGCATTTTGGAGAATTTTTTTATGTATGTGTGTAGATGCTAAAACTATATAAAAAGTAGGATATCCAGAATCTGGCAGTTTCCATTACTTCTACTTCTACTCCTGTAGACCAACCACCACTATTTCTTACGTGACAATTGCAGTAGTTTCCTAAGTGGTCTAGCTGCTTCTTTCATTATCCACCCGAGTCTGTTCTTCATGTAGCAGACAAAGTGATTATTTTAAAATAAGTTAGAACATAATATTCCTATGCTCAGTAGTTTCTTATCTTATTAAGAACAAAATACAAAACTCTTACCATGGCCTATAAAACTCTAGAAAATCTTCCTTTCCACTCTCTTCAATGTACTGTCTTTCCACTCTACTCCTGTTCAGTCTGCTATAGTCACATTGGCTTTGCCACTTCTTGAACACATAAGGCGTTCTTCTACCTTAGGGCCTTTGTGCTTGCTTTCCTTTCTCTATAATGTCCTTTTCCCAGAGGATAATATTTTCTTTTTTTAGAGAGGTCTTCCCTGACTGAAATAGCACCTCCTCTCCCATGACTATCACATCATTTTTATTTTTCTTCTTAGACTTATTACTACCTGGCATATTATCTGTTTATTTCTTTTTATGTTGATCTGTCTCACTCCACTAGAATGACAACCTATCAGAGCAGGGACTTTGTTTTGTTAACCATGTGCCAAGTACTGTTCTAGGTTCAGTAAATACGTTGCTAAAGGAAAGGACTGCTATGTATTGTTATATTATAAGGGATTTCTGTAATTGAGTAGCAAGGAATTACAAATCTTGATTAGTTGATTCCTTAAATGAAATAAAATTGCTTGTCTATAAATATATGCTTTCTTGGCTTAAACTAAAATGTTTGTTAGAAGTGGAAAATAAGAAATGCATTTTTATATAGTGAATAAGTAGTATTAGTATTTAATTTTTATTAACCTCAGATCTTTTATTATCCCCATTTTACATAAGAGGAAATTAAGGCTTAGAGAGTTGGTAAATGGCAGGGTCTGGATTTCAACTCAGCACGGTGATCTTAACTGAGAAGAGTTTTCATTAAGAACAATATTTTTTTAATTTAAAAATTTTAGTTTAGGGCCAGCCCCGGTGGCCTAGTGGTTCAGTTCAGCATACTCTGCTTTGGCTGTCTGGGTTCGGTTCCTGAGCATGGACCTACACCACTCATCTGTCTGTGGCCATGCTATGGCAGCGGCCCACATACAAAAAGAGGAAGATTGGCAACAGATGTTAGCTCAGGGCGAATCTCCCTCAGCAAAAAAAAAAAAAAAAAAGAGTCATGGTCTCTTAAAAAAAATTTTGGTTTGTATTGAACAGGTGCAAAAGAATATTTATAAAATATATGCAAAGTATAAAGAATTGTGGTACAATAACAACTTGTATATCCATCATTTAGATTAAGAAAAAAATTGCTGCTTTAAAAAAATCTTTTTATTATAAAGTGAAAATTCAGAAAAACCACAAAAAACAAATGTATGGCCTAATGAATTATTGTAAAGTATATCCTTGAAACCACTACCCAAGTCAAGAAATATAGCTTTGCCATCCATCTTAGAAATCCCTTCTGTGTGTTCCATTCCAAACACAACCCTCTTCCTACCTTAAATAACCATTACAATAACACACCATTATCTTGACTTGTATGGTAATCACTTCCTCGCATATTTTTGTAATTTTATCATCCAAATGTTCATCCCTAGACACTATAATTTAGTCATGCCCATTAAAAAATTTGATGTCTCTTAAGTCTTTTTTATTTATAGGTTCCCCCTCCATTCATTTTTTTTCCTTATAATTTATCTCTTGAAGAACCAGAGCCATTTGACATGTAGAGTTTCCCGTAGTCTGGAGTTTGCTGATCGCTCCCTCCTAGCGCAGATCATTATATTCCTCAGTTCTCTGTGTTTCCTGAAAATTGGCAGATTGATCCAGAATCCAAATCAGATTCAGGTTAGATCCCTTTAGCAAGACCGTAAGAGGCCCCAAATGGCTGATTAGCTCTTTTTTTGTTCACGTTAGCCCTCTTTTACACTTAATGACTATATCAGTTAATTGAAAATTGCAAAATGTTAATAGTCTAATTCTGTCTTCTTATGTATTAGTTAGAATAGTATTATAAATAGATACTTCTCACTAATCATCTATTATTTGGTTACCCAGTTACACAATTCATATAGGAAAGGCAGGGTAAATACTTCATTCTTTCCCTTTTACTTAGCAATTTTTAGGATAAGAATTGGTCCCGTCATCCTCCAAAGGTGACCACTTTTGGTTTTTTTTTTTTTATAATTATGAACTCATGGATTTAAGCATGTTTCATGGGTTTCAATAAATTGCAATTGTTGTCATTATTGAAGCTCAAATTGTTTCATTTTTGGCCGGTGGGAGCTTCTTCAGGTTGGCTCCTGTGATTTTGATTAGCTTCCTTGCTACTTAATGTAGGATTCATCTTGTGCTTTTCTTCTGGAATCACTCCTTTCTCTAAGAAGCTCTGGTTTCTTTTAGTGAGACGTAGCATTTCAGGACCACAATCTGAGCGCTATAGGTGTTCATTATTAGTGGATTGATTATTGTTTCTAGGCCTTTTTAGTGGACAGAGCTAGGAAAAAATAAGGACAAAATAACTCATGAATTCATATTGATATTTGTAATTCAAATTCAAGACCACAGAGCTTTTATTTAACCTTTCTATGTTACATATGTATCTCCTTTTTTCCACACTAAAAATTTTAGTTCTTAAGGGCACAAGACATGATAGAATTAGAATATTCCAACATTACTCACTTATTTTATTCTGTATTATGCACACAATACACAATAGTTTTAGAATAATAGTACTAATACTACTACCCATATGATTACTGAAAACATTAATTTTTTTGCAAATATGCTTCTCATTTTTAAAATAGATGTACTATTCTACACTATCATAGTTATAGCTATTACATACCATGTGCTTCCCTTCTTAATCCTTCTTAGTCTTTTTTTTTTTTTTAAAGATTTTATTTTTATTTATTTTTTCCCCCCAAAGCCCCAGTAGATAGTTGTGTGTCATAGCTGCACATCCTTCTAGTTGC